TTCTCAAATGTTTTAAACTGAATAACATTTGAAACCTAATATAATTAATAACGAGATAAGAATTTTTAATTACAAACCATTGAAATACAATTCCAATATTTACGAGTGAATCACTCGTAGGAAACATGAATAATAATATAAAAATAAAAAACATTACATTTAATAATAAAAAATATGTTATATATATAATTAATTAGATTCTACAAATCGATAAAATATATATAAAGTTACTTACAATAAAGTCATACTTTAATGTGTAATCTCGCGATAAATCACTTCTTAGACTCGAATAAACTTTTGTGCAAATAAGCAATGAATTTGATATTAAGATATATTATAAACACAGTTATGATATAATAGTCGAGAGACTTTTTTGGTCATAAAAATGACATAAAAGTTACCAAAAAGAGTGTCAGAATTGTTTAACATTAACCTAAAATAAATTCTTATACAATATATTATGCAAAAAGTGATTCTTTTATTAAGTAGGCGTTGGTTTTGAAACTTCCAAAATAAGTCTAATTTATTGTTTTAATCCTTAAGTGAATTAAGTCATCGCTTATTTTTAATCTACACTGACGTTTGTATGGAAACAAATTTGAATAAATAATAATAGTTAGACAATAAATATACAGATACTCTAAAACAAATGTCAACACCATTTATGATAGAAATTATATATGCATTTTAAATCACTTTACAATGGTATTTAAGAAAAAGTAAAAATCTTTTTTAATTAAAAATTATTCAAATGCTTAAAAATTTGAAGCATTTTAAAATACAAAAAATTTCGCAAATATGTTGTTAACTTTGAAGATTTAAATTTGTGATGAAATTCAGTTGTGAAACTTCAAGGGTAACAGGTTTTTGAAGACTTTTAGACACATATTAATACAATAATACATTGTTTTTATACCATGCTTGTCTTTGTTATTTACAACCAATAAGCTCTTTATAATAAAAGGGTAGCTATTATCCAATAATAATTAATATTATATAATATAAAGTTTTTATATAAAAATAGTCATGATATAACTAATGTGACACTCACTCATTAATTTAAATACACTACAAATTGAAAATAATCATATGATTAATATAAAGTATTTGTATATTTGAATATAAATTAATTGATAAAGAGATTACAAATTGAATACAAATATGATGATGTTGTTTTTATACAATTATTAACATTTATAATATATTGCAGTCAGATTTATTCACAGAGATCTGTAGTTCTCATTCCTAATGAAAAACTTGCCTCGCTTACTATTGCTATATGGGAATAAAAAAAAGTAACACAATTAAAATTCAATGATTTGATAAGTGTCAAAATATAGCGAAAAATATTTGTTTTGCTTGTTTGACAGATAAATCAAATACCGATATAACGATCGCTGCAATCCTTGTCGAGTGAATACGGGATTCTTGACGGGAGTGTTGTGTTGACAGAGTTGACACTTTTGAGTGTTTATAACACTTTTGTCTTTATTGAGTCCCTGGTCTTCCTCGCAATACTTCTGTCCCACAAACGACATACCAATGAAATACCACAACATTTTTTAGCAACTTTTATTTGTTTGTAAAAAATAGATTCTTAAGTAAAACAGTTAATTATATTCTCCGGGCACTTATGAGTTATAAATCGGAATTGAAGTTCAATAGTGAAAATAATTCGTTGGACTGATTGGAGTCAATAAAGTTATTAATAACTGTCTATTGATTGACTGAATGAACGAGATTTCTATGAAATTATTGTACAAAAAATCATATCTCGTCTCAATTGGATAAACAAAAAACAAGTTATCCTTGAGTTTTGATTATAATTAATATTGTTTGGGTTTTTATTTGAGTTAAGAATTT